TCTAGGAGTCATTTACATATTTGTACATTTTCTAGTCAACTATGGTAGAAATACAAAAGTAAGGGGACAGGAGTTACCAAATTGAACTTTTAATATAAAGCCAAGCAATAAAAGACAAATAAGTATTTCATCATTTTTTCACACTTACAACAAAAGCTAGAGATACATGTCATTATTTGCTTGCAAACTTTAAAAATAACATTCTTCTTATTTTTTCAAAGACACATTTTCTAATCATCAAACCCGACTATATTTTCGTTGAGTCAAATTTGATTCTCAAACTTGTTGCTTTTGGCAATAATTGAGACAAATGTAGTTGACACATAGATACACATTGACTTGGGACATGTAAAGTATCTATTTTTTCAGCATGAACTCACTCATTGCTGAATAGAGATCAAAAGGATTTTTTACTTTTGAAATTCACAAGTAAATAAGATTTCTTCAATTGTTCAAATTTTAAAAAATACTGATAAAATTTTCATATTCTACTAAAATGTATTTTATTACTGTAAAATAATTAATTTAAAATGTATTTTATTATTGTAAAATAAATTTATTATTTTCCTTTCAACTACAAATTCAATGAGTGTGAATTAATTTATCACTGACTGAGATGTTTACTTGTCTTTCATGGCTTTTGTCTTTGCTTTTCCTCTTTTCTTGTTGAGTGAGGGTAACCGCTAGAAGAAGACATGCCATCATATTCTTTCTCTTTTTCTTTCTCCTCACCTAGATGAGAAAATACAGAAGTAACTACGAGGTCATGAACTCATTCTAATCAAGGAAACAAACCACCATTCACAATAATTGCCAAATATTGCTAATGATTAAAAAAACACTTTTCTTAAAGGACAATTTTAGCTTCAAAAATCTAGATTTCTGGGATTTGTCATTTTGACTTTCATGTGGGCAGCCCAATTTAGAAAATTCCAGGACTTTTCAAGGAGCTTTTGGGCTATTGCTGTTTTTCCAGGAGTTTTCAAGCCCTGGAAAAGGCCCTGTCAATTTTCCAGGACTTTTCAAGGTTTCAAGGACCTGTATGAATCTTGTACATTTTTATCTATTTTTTGTTTTTATTAGTTATGATCTAACAAATGATCTTATCCTATTCATTCAGTAGCCTTTTTTGTAATCATTTACATTTTTTTTTTGTTTTTGCTTATTGAATATAGTAAAAATAAATTGCATATTTTGCTTGTGGTGATTCATAATTAAAATTCTGGTTTGAATATATTTTTCATTCAATGTATCTAATACAAAAAACATCAACTTTATTTGGATTTATTCTTGAAATACTAAAATTTGGAAGTCAGTTTCTAAGCAAAAACCTACAGAAATTAGGTATATGTACATTTTTTCAGACAATCTTTAAAACAAAATGCTCAAAAATTGGTAAAAACTATGGATCTAATTTTTGGTGCCAGTACTTATTAAACCACAGCTTTTCACAAAGAGTGCAATGTTGATTTTCTAAAAAAAAAAGTGAAAAATCAACCTAGCCTATTGTACAGGGTGAACATCATTGTGAAAAAAATCATGAAATTGTCAACAAAGAAAAAAATATATCAACAATTAATTTCAAAGAAAAATCTTCAGCAGTAGTTTTCCATTTACCTTTGTCTACTAGGTTTTATCTTAGTACTTTCAGTGTACTTTTTTTAATTGCAAAGGAAAACAATTTATATAAATTCTTGTATTCTTCAGTGGATGGATAAACCTTTTCTTTTATCTTTCTTATCCTCAGAGAATTTTGAATTGGCACAAAGATAATTCAGACTTTTTTCCTAATTAATCAACACCGGTTCTAATTTTACACATTGCAAGAATAATTAATTATACTACAGAAATAAAGAAAAACACTGCAAGATTAGTTGATTGATTTGCTTTTTATGATTTATCAATCTTTTGCAGATTATATAAAACCAGAAAATATTCGTAGATTGTAGGAATTTTGGGGAGATAATAATAATTTAGTGACACAAATCCTAATTAACCCATAGCTGGGAGGGAGAGGGGGGGATTTATAGCTTTCCCAAGAGTATTTGCATATAAGTGAATATAACAAACCTGACTAGAATTGGAACTCAGCTCTCTGATTTACGATTCTGAATAGTTATCTGCACATCCAAGCTTACAACACCTGTCATCCATTTAGGTACTGACCAGGCTTGATGTTTTTTAACTTTCATGATCAAATCAGAACTGGTGTTTCAACATGATACAGTTGTAAGCCAACACTACAAAAATAATGTCCACACTAAATTTTTTTAACTGAATTACTAATACAGATATAACACCTTTTGCCACTGCCTACACCCAGTGGTGTAATCATGTTTAGTGGTCCAGTCCTCAGGGTCTTAGAACATTTTAACTATAAGGCTAATTCTGCACTAGTCAATGTTAATGCTGATCCAGGCTGGTTGTTGGTCTTCGATCCAGACCAACTCTGCCTACGTTGTGTTCTCAATCTTAGAGCAGTGAAAAATTGAAGGTTGTAGTTTTGCATCACTGGTTCAAGCCATGGTGGGTGCTATATTAAGGAAAAAATATCTTCACAACGAAAAATAAAACAAGAGATTTGTTGGGTTAATCTTCAATTGGTTTATATAGCTCTTGGTACAACAAAAATTAACCTCTCTTGCATCAATCTCTGTAGTGACACTGGGTCATGTCTAAACTTGTGGAGGAGCTGGGTTCAAAGTCTGGGAATCAGGAAATCTGGTAGCAGCTGACATGGATTTCAGAGACACTCAATGTGTGTTCTCAGCACAAAGTCTCTGAGCTTCCCAAAGTTGTCTGCTTATATGCACTTTGGCTCAAAACTGGCGTGGGGCCAAAGGGTTCTGGGGATTCAGTGACTCGCCAATTTTCATTAATCCCAATAAAAGTTTTCTTTGTTCCCTATTATTGCTTTCTTAATCAACTTTCCAAATTTGGAGAATTATCTATCCTTCTTGGGAATGTCACAGGGATTACTCCTCCCTTAATTCCAACTTGCTTCACTTCACATCTCGCACCATTATTCTGTTCAGGTGGGGCTAAATTCTGCCCCTTCTTCTCTGTATTTTAACTCTGCCCACTTCTCAAGGATGGCATAACTGTCTTTGTGATAAATCTAATTTTATCATGTGTAGGACAGAGGACATGGTTTATTTTCCTCATTAATTTCAATACACTGACTCTTTTCCTGGACCCATTTGTTCAGCGAAAACACAAACCAGATCACCTTCACATTTTAATCTTCTGGGCAATAGATAAAAATTATTTCCCAATTTGTTTTTGTTAATGAAAATATATTTGTTTACCTAAAAGAGACATGCTGTTTTGTATCCTTGGGCTGGTCACTGTCTTAGCGAAAATATAAACCAGATCACCTGCCTGTTATGATGGATCGATTTTAACTCTTAACTCCCACAGTGTATTCATTCTCTATTTTGATTTCTCAATTCGTTTTTGCTACTAAAAATATAATCCCAGTTTGCTTCTCTTTTTGCCAATGACATGTGTTTTTCTAATTTCCCAAGGAAGATATAAAGCCATTTCCCAATTTGCTTTACCCACATGCCACATTTTCAATAGATAAAAGAAACTCTTGGTGTATTGTTCCAATTTGTAGGGGTGAGACAATCCAGATGGCCCTTTCTTCACTTCCACATTACCAGGGAAAATGTCTTCCAGTTTACATTTCATTTTGGGTTTAACCCTTTTTTTTGCTTAGAATTAATGTTTAACCACCTCACAAACTCAGTGTCCCACTGATATAGATTATATTTCACATCTACTTGGGTGTGTGGCCATGTGGTTAGAATGTTAACATGCCAACTTTGTTGGTGTTATTCAACTCTTGATGAAATCAGCTGAGTCACTTTCTTGCAGAAACTGTAACTAAGGTCTGCTCAGCATTGTTACAGTATAAACCACAAGTTGACTCAGTGAGTGTTAAAGAAACATAAATATGGCTGAGCAGGTGTCTGCAACAAAGATTAGTTAGCCATTGTAGCAGACAAGCATACTTAGAAACAAGCAATCAACCATTATTATATACTGCCAAATTATATATCTGACTAATGATACATACATTCTGCTTTCAATATTAAGTAAAAAAAAAGAGGTTGTTGAATAGATCAAAATAAGTGGTTATGGAAACATCTTGGATGGTATGGTAGATGAGAAAGAATGACTCTAGGTATTAAACACAGATGCGTTTTATGGTGAAGAGGTGAACCAAATAACTTTTATAAAGCCTTTCTAAAAAAAATAATGAATAAATAAAAATGATGTTTAGTCAGCTGTTCAGATTTTGGTAAGTTAATCAAGCTGAGAACTTTTCAGCATCCCCTTGGGACTGCATCAGAAATTTTAAATTGTTTATAGTTTTAAGCAGGGAAATTTTTTTTTTTTTTTTAAGCATTTCACCCCAAGCAAGGCGGGAAGCCACTAGGACGCAAGGGGTTACAGAAGATTTGGAGCAAGATCAGATAGGTGTGATAGAGGAAAGGATGAGGAGAAGGATAGTGGATAGATCAAGGCAACTGGAGATGTCGATTGACATTACATTTGAATAGTTGGAGATTATAGCTCTTAGGGAAACTGGAATAGGGAAGGGAGTTCCACAGGCGAGAGGTGCGAGACATGAAGCCATTGGAGTAGAAGAGACAGCTACATTTAGTAGTTTTGACAGTGAAAGGGTGAGAATGGGATACCAGCCTCGTAGGGCGCTTGAATTCATGAAGTCTGGGAACCAGCGAATAACAAGTACTTTCTCTCATGTTGCATTTACATTTGGTTTCTTTCTCTGGAATAAATGCAATGAAATTAAAGAGTTATTTCCCACACACTTTGATATGAATCTTAATAATTAATTTTTTATTGATTCAAATTGTTTTCCAATTCCTTCATAATTCAGCTCATCATGGATCCCTTAAATATAGACTTTTGCAGAATTAATTTTCTGATCATCCTAACATATATTAACATATTTTTTCCATTAATCTTACCTTTCTTTTTTCAAAAAATTGATAACCATCTTCCACAACCTAAAAATTAAAAATTAAACAAATTAATAGTAAAAGTGTACACATTTTAAACTCTTAACTGAAATTGTGTACATTTAATTAACTTACATGTTGAATTGAAAACTGTTAATTTAATTTTTTGCCTTTCTTTTTTGTTGTATAGACAGTTTACTGTCATTAAATTATTAGATACAATTTTTTTCATGTTTTTGTCTCAAATTTATTGTTTGTGATATTTTTAAAACCATGTAAATTAAGTATCCAGATCACTTCATTTCATTCAAAAAGTTTTAAGTTTATTTAAAAATGGGCTAAGGATAACAAAAGACTAAAATCATAGGAAATTATCCAAAGTAAAACATATCAAATTTCATAGTATTACCTGATGAGCCCTAACCAATAAACTACAATCCAATTTTTTCAAATATTCTCGTACAATATCTCCACCAAACGTAAAGGAAACACCTCGATCATTTTCACCCCAACCAGCAATATCCTCAAGGAGGGAAAAAAAAAAGAAAAGCAATTAAGAATAATGTACAGGAAAAAAGTCAAAGAAAAATTTACATGACAAAATTAAACAAATCAAAAGATTAATTTCTAGAATATACTTTCAGTTTAATAGATAATATTATTTTCAGTTTTGGTGTGAAAAATTAATCTTGAATATTTCCATGACTGACAATGAAAGCTAAGTATTACAGACAGGAAATCTCAACATTGGAAAACATTTTCAGATTTTAAATAACCAATTAGCAAATAAAAATAACTTTCCAAAAATTGAATGTATTCTTTAAATGAAAGTCAAAACCAATATTTAAAGTTTTTTCCCTCTAGATATTAATTAAATACAGTCATCAAGAGCTGCTTCTAAAGCAATATCAATAGTTTTCCTTCATCATTAGTAGCTTACACTTCAGTCGAATTATGCATCAGTCTTTATAGTTTTCCCATAAATAAACAAATATAGCTTGGCCTTTTGATTTTTCCTTTTTGAAAGAGCATTCACTTAATGTTTCAATGGACATTATATTGATTTTATTTCTAACTAGTCCTGTGCTAAATTGAATTACATATGAATAAATAAAAACATGTTGAAAGAAATAGTTTTTTAGTCAAATTGATAAAGAAATGATTTTTCTCCATTTAATATTTAATTATCATGAGTAAATAAAACATTTTTTCAACAGTTCACTTAAAGTTTCCATTACAAAAAAAATTAGCTGGAGAAGAAAATATTGCTAATTGCATTATGGATTTCATTCATACCTCATCTGGATCAGACCAGAGAAGATCGCATACAAGTCCATGATCTGGAACATCTAGGGGACGCTCAATTTCACGGATCTAACCAAAAAAAAGCATCAATAATTAATAACAACACATAATATACAGACATAAGAAAACAATAGTTTTTATGATTTTTTATGATAACCTAAGAAAATTCTTGTTCAATTTGCAAGAATTTAATTATTGTAGAAATCAATTCAATTTTAATAGACAAGGCAAAGGAAACTTAATGAGGAAAAGAAAAATATTTAAAAGTATAGAATGAATATTGTGACAACTTTCTCATTATTGTAACAAAATAAAAATATTATTATATAACCTGGAAACTAACCTGGTTAAGATCAATCAAATCTGGAGAAAGTCCTCCATGCATACATAATATTGTTCCTTCAATGATAGCAGCTGAAATAAATATGTAATTATTGTATCAAAATACTTTTGCTAAATGAATTTCATGTTCTGAAACAAGGACAGACCTTTTCTTTTTATATGTTTAAAGTTGCAGTAGCTTATTACTAATACATATTAGACACATCTTTGTTGCTACTATACCAACAACAGCTTACTTATCACTGCTGCTACTCTTATTTCTTTCTTTCTCTTTCAAACACTACTATCTTATGAGAATACAGGATGTAGATATTGTGTGTAGTCAGAAGCAACTCAGCAAAGAAACATTTTTACCAGATGTATACTGAGTTTTTTCAATATATATGAACAACATATATTCTTCATCTTACAAATATTATCTAGATATCCTTTCTATTCTGTATTCTTCTTAGTTTCTATTTTTATTGTTTTACTTTCAGTTTTACATCTTTTGGTTCAGTTCTAACACTATAGTGTATAATATACAATATGTTCTGACATCTTTGAGAGGTTAATATGTAAAAACAGATATAAGATGGAAGGGTATAAAAAGGTGAAATATACATGAAGATTGCCAAAGGTCAGCTAAATAAAAGGAATACATATTAATGATAGACAGATTGTTGTTAAGATGGCTCTTTTCAGTTTTATGCATTCAGTATGAAGCTTCCCACTAAAAAAAATAAAAAAAGAACATCACATCCCAAGATTACTTATATAAAGGAACACATGTTCTAGCTTTGTTATGCATGTAGATAAAGCGAATCTTAGCTGTTTCTGTGTGCATATAAGCATATAAAATTGTTGGAAAAAAAAAGAAAAGAAAACTTTAACTACACTCCAATCATCATGTATTGATATATTCACTGTACAAAGGTTACATGAAGAAACCCAGATTTTTCAATGCCTAATTTAGATAGAGCTTTTACATGAATGTTCATATTAGAGAGAAGACAGATCTTTGCTGTTGTTTTGAGTTTTAATGCTCTCTTCTCATCATTAACTGCCTTGGGTCTAATACACAAGACAACACAACTGGGACTGATAACCCAACACAATAACAAATAATACAGTTTATGTAGACACTACTGTACTCTATTAGACATCATTACTGAAATATTCTTATGTTTGAGACCTTCATATTTGGTATTATTTTCCTGTTTTATTTGCCACTGAGTAGATGCCTTTTCCCGGTATCCATCAATATTCTAGTTAGACAGTTACATTTTCTCATCCTATAATAAGCTTACAGACATATCACATTGAAACACTGGTTCCTGTATCATCACTGAAGTTAAGCAATGTCAAACCTGGTCAATATCTAAATAGTTGACCACTCAAGTATACCAGGTGCTGTAAGCTTTGGATGTGCAGGTGATGTAATAGATAAAAGCTTGAAATTGTTAATTGGAGAGCTGATTTCCAATTCCTGTTGGATGGGTTACATTCACTTACGTGCAAATACATTTGGGAAAAGTATGAATTCACCTCTTTCCCCTACCAGCTATGGATTAATTAGTGAGATGTGTATCACTAATACAATTATTATCTAAGAAAAAAAATTTTACAATCTAAAAAAATGATTTTTGGCTTTAAATAACCTGCAAAAGGGTTGATAAGCCATAGATCAATCAATCAATCATCCTATAATAAACCTCTTGACATTTTCAGAGTTGCTCCTTGTGAGAAAAAGCATTTTTTCTGAATGTTAAAATTTATACATATAATTAAGAATGTGTTGAATAGGAAGGAGTGTTTTTCTATACGAAAATGAAGCAAACTACATTTAAGCATAAAAAAATGATAGGACACAATAAAGAAAAGAAAGGTCAATTAGTTCAGTAAATTAAAGTTTAAAAAGTCTTAAGGGAAATACAATAAAAATACATTTTTGCCATGAAACTTGAAATTCTTATGTCTATCATAGAAGTCAATAAAAATCATATTTTGGCCTGGATTTCTTACATATGTATCTCCTGTTATCAAATCATTTTTTAAATATACACATTTTTTAATCTACTGATTTTCTCATGAGAATTGTGAAGTTTTTATAATTAATTATTGTACCACTTGGTTGGCAGTGGCCTTGAATTAAATGATAAGAAATACTGGATGTAATAAAGGAAATCAACATCTGAAGATACAGTTCAAAATGCTTCATTAATTGTATACTAGGCTTTTAATTGGACTGATATACTTTGTTAAAGAGCTACTGAGGAGACTCACATGGGTACAGACTTAATCTTCCACTGATATGGCTAATCTGAATAAAAAGAAGAAATGGACATGACATTCACATTTTTATAAATTATTTAAGTGCCCATCATCTATAGCTCTTACTTTACAGCAGGATATTTTACAGCCAGATATTCCTTACTTAAAAATCCCAAATAATAATTTGTTATTGATAATTGAAGTTTCGAATTTTAAGATGTGAAAAATAGTTTAAAAAATGTTAATTGAATTGATTGCAAGAAAGTTCAATAATTTTATAATTTAAGAAATGTTCACTAACATAAAAAAAAAATGCAGCTATGACAATTGATATTCCAAAAAAAGAAACTTACCAATGGGCAAACAATTAAAACATTCTGTGAATGTTTTCCACAATTTGATGTTATATCTGCGTTTACATTCGTCATAAAATCCATAAATTCTGAAAAAGACATTCCAAGAAAATTTTAAGAAGTAGAGAAAAATGTGTATTTTTTTAAGAAAATGGAAAATACCATTTTCATTAATTTTTAAATTCTTATTTGTTTGAGCTGTTCATTCCTTAACTATGATGGATTTGATAGAATGAGTTTAGATTTTATATTTGGAAAAATTAGTTTGAAGATGGACACTGATGTATGCATCATATTTATCAATAAAAGGTTTCAAAAGAGAATTGCACAGATATGTAAATCTGTGCAATTTCTGCAAAATTTTATTACTAGTAGTTTCATTTAAATGACTTATACATTTGCCACTTGTATTTAATTGATAATTATAAAAAAATGAATAATCTAAGTAACACTATAAATTTTGCAAAGTTTCATTTGTTTCTGTGTGTATGTGTGTAGATCCATGTATGGTTGAGTGCATATGTGTATATTAGGGTACATTTAAAAAAACAAGTATATTCCACTTTTAAAAAAAATTCAAATTAGATTTTCTCTATTTATGATTATCTTAATATAATAGAAAAGATTTAAATTGATTGAAATAACATTTCAACAAAAATACATGAAGTAGAAATATATTTGAAAATTGAAAGTTACTCCTTCAAAAAAGACACATGCAAAATACAACTACTTTTAAATATATAAAATGCACATTGACCAAATAAACATTTTATTTTTGACAAAAATTGATTTTATGATGCCCTATTTAAATTTAGAAAAAGATAGAAAATTTTTGAGATTTAAGTAAAATATGCATTTTATATGCCACTAGCAATCTGTTAATCATGTAGCTACAGGCAATTGTTGATAAATAATCCACTAAGAAAGAGATACTGTTACTGTTATATATTTATGTCTATTACTGTAAATAATCAGTTTCATGACCAATATTTGTTTTCAGTTGGACATTATTTTTCTATTAAGCTTAATTTATTAAAAAAACTTGCAATTCTAACAGAAATTAAGACCAGATTGTGCACTGAGGCTCAGCATTGCTTCTATGCATCTTGGCAGTCATGCTGTGAGCATAGGAATGTAATGATTTGATACTAAAAATATTCAGATTTTGTCTTTGCAATAAAATGTACTTGATCACAATTTCATCTGAGTAAACTGAATCATTTAAATAAAAGAATTGATTGTCAAAGTCAAAAAACAAATAGTTAATTCTTTATTCAAAGAACTTAATGTAATTTTCAAGTTATAAATAGTAGAAGAATTCACTGCATTCTGCCAAGAATATTGCAATCTGAAAAGGAAGCTATTACAGTTGATGTTATAAAATACTAAATACCTTAACCAATTCGATTTCTATCTGATACATACAATTTTGAAAATTCTTCTGTTAATACTAAGATTTTTAATAAAAAATAGAGCATATATCCTACAGTATTCTTTAAAAATATCTTAAAAAAGAGGAAGAATGATTTTCAGTTTGCATGTGTGCGTGCATGTGTACATACAGACATAATTAATGCCTGTTAAGTAGTAACTTACCTATTAATAGATGCACATTCATGATTCCCTCGAAGAAGAAAAAAATTCTGTGGATATTTAACTTTATATGCCAAGACCAAACAGATGGTCTCTAATGAATGACACCCTCTGTGAAAGACATAAAAAAGATCAACTGACATAAAAAGATCAACTAACATAAATGGTTTATATATATATACTGGGTTTGTTGTTCAATGTCATTCAGTTTTTAACTTTATTAAAATGAATGTTTTTAATTATGTTGTGATAACTGTCATGTGAAAGTGCATTTTAAAAATTATTTGAAATTGACATATTTAGTTTAGTCTATCATTGTATATTAATACTGATATATACTTATATAAGATTGCATATTAATATATTTAATTTTTTGTAGATTACCCAGATTAATATACACCTGATGAAGGTCAGAGGGCACAACAGCTGAAACGTTGTGATAATAACAAAGATGAAGACATTAGCCTTAATATAAATAGTGTAAATAATAATATGATAACCATAAATATTAATAATATTCGTATCAAGGGTCAATTGTTATCTATCCTCCTTATCCTCATAATCTTCCCTTCCTACCATCTCTTTCATTCATATCATCATTACCATTTTAACAGTAACCTATTGAGTGCTTTTGGGCTTTGTATAAAGTGAATTCTAGTATAAAAAAAGTTAAACTCTCACAGTGAAGATGGAAGAAAATTAATATTTTCAACACATGCTTTTTAGTTTTTTTATGAAAGGTAAAAACGCAACTCATTTTATTTATAGAGAAAATACTGTAAATGATTGAATGGGTGAAAAGTGGCTTGTAAACTTCCACACTCGAGATGTTTCATGTTTGGAGAAGCATCTTGGTGTAGAGTAATGATTAGCAAGACAAGAATATTTGTCCAGTACTACTAAATAGAGAGTATGCTCCTCACTTTTTGCCCCATACAAAAATTCAGCATTAATAGACCAACAAGAGTTGACAGGTCATAAAATCAACCAGTTCAACTAATCTCAAGTTGGGTACAGAAAATGGAATGGATAATGATCAAGTTACTTGAGAATAATCAATGTTATATGAAACAGGAGAAACTCAAAATATCCAAATCAAACACTGAAAAACATTTACCCTAATTTGGTTATGTGAATAACTTTGCCGTGTGACTTCCACACAAGTGAAAATAAGCTAATAAATCATATTTCTGTTTTTAAATCAAATTGTAACAGATGATGAAAAGTAGGTACTTTACAACATAGAACACAAGGGATTGTGGGCAAATGAACTGAATGACCAACAACTTTAGCAAAGGTCAGTCTTCATCTATAGAATATGATTCAGTATATATAGGTGGATTAGAAGGGAGTTTTCTATTATGAACTCTATCTGGAGAAGTAAATAATTAATTTAAACAAGTACTGCTCACAGTTAAACCAATTGAAAGCAGCAAAAATTAACAGTGTCCAGAATTAAATAAGAAAATGGTTATAATATTCCAATGAGGAACAGATCATATATTTTTTTTAGTGACCAGGCAAAATTTGTTGCAGCCTGGTTAGAAAGTTTTCACTCTGCCGTAGTCAGCACATCATATCTGGATGACCATTCTTTACAGAATTCTCTTAATTAAAAAAAAACTCTCCCTGCTGGAAAACAGCAAAAGTTACCTAAATTTGTTTTATGATGAGAAAAATAAAAAATTCTTGCAGGATAGAATTATGAAATTTCCTGAAAGATGGCAGATTTAATCAACCAAAACAAGATGTTAAATTAAGTTAATCTAAAAGAAGTCTTTTATGTAATAAATTGAACCAACTTTTTGGAAACCCAAGATACACATAACTTATATTCATTTTTCATACAATATTCACTATTTTGAGCAAGATGAGATAAATTTTTGTCTGCTTTAGTTGGAGAAGTGAAGACTTTCTTGGTTAGCAAGTATGTAAACCCCATTTGTGCAGTGTCTATTGAAATATCTGCCTTGGTATAGTGATGTCATATTTGACAAGGATCTTCAGCATAGTCATAGTCATGATCATCGGATTGTCTATAGTCTCATGCGGTACTTTTCTTCCTAACCAAGGGGACTATTTGTTGCCAACTATATTCTTTTAGATGCTGTATTATTTTGAACTTCTTATATTTTTTGATAAGGCTGTGAGCACTCATATTTGAAACTGCTTTGAGATGGTTGCCCTTACTCACCTTGTGCAAAGTCACAATACACCTCCATAAACTCTCATTCAGTTCTTGGACATAACCCATTTTAAGCTATTCTTAAGGCTATACACTAACAATGACTATATTAGATCTTATTCATTTATTGTTGATAAGAATGCTTGAGAATACTATAGAAATTACCAACCCTCTTTAGAATTTTTGTAAAGATTGATTGATTTTTTTTTCTTATGGCTTATCAATCTTTTGCAGGTTATTTAAAGCTGGAAAATATTTTATATTGAAAGAATTTTTTCAAGATAATTTTATTTTTTTTTACAATGATGCTCACCCTGTACAAGACCTGAGAGCCTTGATTAGGATTGAACTCAGTAGTAGTCCTGATGTAGCTCACTCACATGAATAAAAAAATAAGTCTACCTTAGTGAGTTACATGAAAGGCACAATATCAAAGAAGGAAACAATTCTGTGTTGATCTGATTTTATTAAGCTGTTTGTTGATAAAAATCTTCAGAAATTAAGATCCTTGAAGCTTAATCATGAATATAAAAAGCAAAAGAAATCATTTTGTTTATGGAAAATTTTTTGGTAATTTTGCAGTTTAAAATATTTTGCAAAGTGGCAAATGTATGATGTCAAAAAAAAAAAAAATAATGTCACTCACCTGTCAACATAATCCCCCAAAAAGATATAATTTGACTTAGGAGGGTAACCACAATTATCAAAATGTCTTAAAAGATCATCATACTGGCCATGAATGTCACCCATCACATTAACAGGAGCACATAGTTCCAAAAGCATTGGTTGCTCCAAGAAAATACCACGTGATGCCATGCATAGTTGACGAATCTGATATTCAGGTAACTGCACCTTAAATTCAAAATGCAAATAACTAAAGTAATTATGAAATTGAAATATGGTTTCTCACAAAATTAGACTAAATGCTATCATCTCAGATATCTTTAGAAATAACAGAGTTACACTTTTTCACTGATCAGGAAAACATCGAAGGGTAATTTGAAACAATAAATCAAAAAATAATTTTTCAATTAATACTATCTCTGTCTCAAAATAATTCTATATATAATGTAACACCTGGGACAGATGTAGTAATTGATAATGTACACAAATTTATAAGTATTACTTCAATAATGACAATAAGAATAGATAATGTTAAATTTGGGTGAAAAGGTAAAAAAAAATTAAGCAAAAATATGTAAAATGTGTTTTGAACTTCTGGCTAATAAATGATTATTAGTTTTTCTTGAAGATTTATAAATGGTACATTTTACAGGAATTAATTTTTCTAATCAAGTAAAAGGAAAGATTCCATCTTTCTCAAATGTTTTATTTGTTTCTAAAAGCAGAACACAAAATCTACATTGTTATATATTCTTCTGAGTGAATGACTAAATAATATTGACAGGTTTAAACATGAAGCATCATTTCATGAAGATAAAGAAGTTACAAAACATATTTGTACATAAGTAAAAACTTGCAATGTCTACCGAGCATTATTATCATAAAATTGCTGAGCATTTTCAACAAATCATTTTATCTATTTGCGTGAAAATGCTCAAAAAATTAATTAAAAAAGAAGCACAATAAAACTTCATGACCAAAAATTACTAATGTTTATGCACATTTAGATAATTATATGCATTAACAGGCTAAAAGGTGATGGAATAGGTTCCTAGTATCATGTAGAAAGCCAGTCCAGAAAAGTACAGTAAAACCACTGTTACATCAATTTCAAAAATAGTCAAAAGATACCTGGAGAGATGCTGAGCCGTTTCATCTCAGTAACTATCCACAGTTCCACAGATATTTGTAGGGTACAGGATCTCGCATACAAATAGAGATCCCCACCACATTCCATAAATGTTTGATTAGGTTCATGTAAGGTAAATGCGGTAGCTACATTATTTGTCAAAGGTTTCGGAATGCTACTTAAGCCAATTCTAAGCAACTTGGGCAACCGATTACACAATGCATTATCCAGCTGAAATAATGCATCCTTATTGGGTTCATGAATGGTCATGAAGCAGTGAAACAAAGCAGTCACCAGTAAATGACATATTTAGGCAAACCAACATACCCCACACTATTTTAGCACCACCACTAGCCTGTACAACACCTTTTTGACAACTGATAGAGCCTGTGCTGCCCCCAAACCTTACTATTAGTTAAAAACAACAGGAACCATGATTCATCAAATCATGCCCCATGTTGCTAATCTTCCAGGTTTCAATTAGCAACATTATGAGCCCAGGTGTGGTGTCTCATGCTATGGTGTTAACAGGAGTACTCTGGTGGGTTTTCTGCTTCTATAACTCATGAAAGCTAAAAGAATATTTAACTGACCTACATCTGATACCTTCTACATTGAATGTGGGTGAGATTTGAGCCAGTGTTACTTGTCTATTATTAAAGACAACCAGATGCCCATGATCATTTATGATCCATGGTCAACAATTGCAGTAATGCCTTCCATCAGGTATTCCCAGTACACATGTGACTCCATAAACTGAGGGATGTTAAATGTCTCCATAAATTTAGAAATAGAATATCTCATCCATTTAGGACTCATTATCATACTCCATTTGAACTCTGATAATCTATGACATCTTTTACTATCAACAACCGAGCTGGTGCTCACATTGACTTATCAGATGTCAGGGTGCAAAGTGCCTTTTGAAATGTCAGTGTAATATTATAAAGAATTTATTTCACAATAATGCCATTGTTATAAGAACACAATACTGTACACTGCCATATACTTATATCAAATTAATTTAATATCAGTTTGTTTCCAAAATTGATCTATCAGTACACTATAAGAAAATAAATACAAACATGAAATGTTATGAAAATAAAACAATTAGATAAAAAAAAATTACCAATTAGCCTGAAATATTTGGAATCACTTTATTGTTGGATAATCATTTGTTACAAAAATTTGTGGATCGTAATTGCTTTAATTGTGAACTTTGATCATTAAGTCTACAAGAAAGTGCTGTTAAAATATGTGATATGTAGAGTGCTTTAAATGAGATAAAAAATGATCAATATTTGTTTTAACAGATTGTAGCAACATATGACTGAATTAATAAACTTCATTTGATCAATGGTGCTTAAACCAATACTTAGAATAAATGACTTCAAATTTCCAGCAGTTTCAGAAAACATTTCACATGGAATGTTATCAGCTGTATGATTTTGTTATGAGTTTGAGAAATTCAGAATTTATAAAAGTACTGAAAAATTGTTTTTACAATTATTTGACTGGTTCTACATCATAATTTTTACAGACAAGTAGGAAATAAACTGAATGATGGGAAAATAAGGAAATATTTATAAATAACATATTGTGTTTCTGTTCACTAATTTTGTATGAAATTCAAATACATAGTAATGAAAGTATATAACTGATGTTTTACTTGCATACACAAATACAAAAAAAAACTATATTGTTTATTGAAAACAATTAGCTCTAAGTTGAAAATTTCAATTTTTTCATTAAAAATTTATTAGTATCTTACACACTAATTTAGTGTCATTCTTTAGTCAAATAGCTATAAATACTCAAGGTTTACTTTAGATTATAGAAAGCAGTTGGAAGTTGAAAGTTTATATTTATTTTTGTAATCTGTTAAGAGTTTATTTCTACACACTACCTACCTGGACACTAAGAATTATTATCTTTATTTTTACTTTTTTTACACTAATGTCCACCCAATATAAGGCCCAAGAACAACTCAAGGTAGAAGATTACTGTGTAGTGTTGTATGAGTATAAGAAAGGAAATGAAGTGCATGGGGCTAAGCAGGAAAGATAATGGTTAACTCTAGACATGAAGAGGTCAAGATTGTAGCAATTGGGAAAATATTTTGCCAGGTATCTGTGCAACAAAGCAGCAGTTTTTTTTTTTTTTTGGAAGAAGCTGTTATTGGAATGCAAAGGAAATGAGGATGATTCACTCTTGTGTACATGTCATAGTGGGTCCTAGTTGTAAAGATCAGGGATAGTGGAACTAAGGAATATCGCTTATCAGAACACATGCCGTGGATATAGCAATAGAGCAGCAAGAAGTTTGCAAGGTTTCGCCTGTGAGAAAGGGGTTGTAGGGTGTAAAAAATTCATCACCTACAAGGCCGCATAATGTACAAATTATATAGTAAATAGTATCTCTTAGGAAGTAAGTCTGGGAAAGAAATTATAATTTTTCTTGTGAAATCATATATTGAAGCCAGTCAGCAGAAACAAAATTATTAAATGAAATTTGCCTCCAACTATGAAAGTAAGTTGTATTGCTTTTAAATATGCAGAGCAATAGACTAAATTTGTCAAATTATTAGAAAGTGACATGGCAAAATTGAAATCAAATTAGACTGACATTTAGTTGGTCCAAATTTCAAGAACTTTAACAACACACAAAAACAGGACTGCTAATGAGAAGAGCAAGAGATGATGGTGAAAATTAGTAAATCTAAAAAATAAACACTGATGATCTTTGAGAAGAAAACAAAAAAAACCCAGAATTCTGTAACTATAATAACAGGACATAACTTCCCAACTGAAGTTGAATTTCAATAAAAGCTGACTGTAATCTGAAAAAATTCTTTATATCTAATGAAAGGACCAGTTTTATTAAACAAATGAAAAGGACAATAAATTGACAATTATAATAAACTTGGTTGAACGTCTGTGGTTATTAGGATTACTTTTGGCCAAATTGTAGAACAAAAGTTCAAAATTTGTGGGAAACACTAAAAACTAACATACTCACAGCAGATCTTAGAGAAACAACATTTAGAAGATGCAATAAAACACTAATAAATTTTAGGTTGATGCAAATGTGCTTCATGTTATCTTTTGCACAACAGTAAGGAAATCTTGGATGTGTCTTTGAAGTTTACTGAACTCTTTCTTGTTTATGCAATCAATCAACTGCAATACATTATCTTTAAAGAATTATGAAATTAGGAATATAGGCTCCTTGCGAACTAAAAGAAAGAAACAACATCCAGTGCATAAACACTTTCTCTTTTTGTTTTTTGCATGTTCACAAAGGTTTGTCTGACTACCTTTTCAAGCCAGGTTCAGTGTTTCTGGAATGATCTCTTTTTGGTATCTTCTTCCCACTGTTCTCTAGATGACCGACTACCTGTGCACACCAGACTACCTGCTTTTATTCATAGGGGATATTCCCTTAGCTCAAAGTTGAGGGGGATCCTAGGATTACATGTTAGTAATTGTTAAGAGTTAGTCCTCCTCACAACACCCCATTTTGAGGTGGGTAAACATGTTAGTGAGCTTGACTTGCTTCTGGATTCAATCAGTCATTTTTGTTGTAGGCTTTTTTTGAGCTCTTGTTTCAACATGCAGTTTAGACTGGGAACTCTGAGGAAGTTCAAATGTGTCTAACAAAACAATGAGCGAAGGGATTGTATCAGTTAGCTTAGTCTCTGCAAGGAGGGAAGAACAGTTGATTTGCATGTTAGACCAAGATGAAATACTGTACATTCACATCATAGGTGATATGTCCAGTTCTTGGCACAGTATGAGCTTGTGTCTACTTATTGCTGCAATTATTGCTGCAATTGTCTTTGGTGAGCATGGATTGACCAGGTACAAACACGTGTTGTACAGTCCCATAGTGGTGATTAAACTGTTCTTCTATAAAAGTGTTTCCCCTAAGAGAATGATGTGCACAAATAACATCACATGAATAGCACCAACTGGTAATCAGATCTTGTGATTCATCAGTGCTTCAGCAAGTGAGCTAATGTTAGGCTTGTTCCTAGAAAAATCACAATGATTTCCAGTGTAGTCCCCTTCCCTTTGAGTTTTGAGAGTGCTCTCTTAAATGTGTACATAAAACGTTCTACCTCTCCATTTAATTGTGGATGGAATCTTGGTGACCAGATGCATTGTATACCATTTTGTTGGGAGAATGCTGAAAATTCTGGCAAGTTAAATGAAAATTGTCAGAATCTAAAATATCTGCAACACTAAATCTGCTAAACACTTGCTGTAGTGTTATTAGAGCAGGAGTTCTCAACCAGTAGGGAAATCCCCTCTGGGGCTGGGAGTTTCAGCATTTCAGTGGGGGAATTGGGGCCACAGATTGGTAGACTCAAAATGTTAATTTTTGAACTCCTCAAAACAGCACAATCTGCAATGTGCATCGGTCTGTACAACTGAGAGGTCACGCTGAGTTTCATTCTGTTAGCTCTTTTGCCACTACAAAAATAATTCATGTCAATGTATATGTACTAATAGGAGAAAGAATGAAAATGTTCAATAATATATGCATATTATTTGGAATGCACCTTTTGAGTTGGACAATCTTGGAAAGGAGGGGTGAATGACATTCTAACTTAAGGTGAAAAGGGTGCATCAAGCAAAATAGGTTGAGAATCACTGTATCAGAGTCTCACCAGGAGTGGTGGTATTTATGGAGAATACTTCTGGACATTTACAATAGGCACCAACTACAATCAAGTAGTGTTGTCCATTAAGAGGTCCTGCAAAGTCAACATGGAGTCGTGACCAAAGGGGACTCTAGGACAAGACATGAACACAGTTTATATTTCCAAAAGGGACTTTGAAGTTAGCTGACATCTGGAACAAGAGTGCATAAATTCTTCCAACTTTCGTTTCCATATTCAGCCAGTAAATATAGCTGTGAGCTAAGGCTTTTGTGTGGCTAATTCCCTGGTGCCCAAAATGGAATTGTGTGAGGACTCTGTTTTGCAGTTTTAATGGGACCACTGTGCATTCACCAACCTCAAAGATGATCAACATTGGTAAAAGGGCTGAAGCTGTTGATTGGCTGAAGCTGAAGCTGTTGGCCAGTGTGTGCAGTGAAAATAGATAAGTTGCTGTAAGGGATTGCAGTGGGTTTCCTAGACCATTTATGAAGTAACCAGAAATGATCTGACTCTGGATGCCAGTATTGACTATGTAGTGACTTCTGATTCCAGATATTGCTGCAACAACTATGTTTTCTGGTTTGTTTGCATTGAGAATCAACAAGTCTTGATAATGCATTTTGCTTGACTGATTGCATCAGTTGACTGGTATTTGATGTAGAAGTCATAGTCCAAAAGCATTGTAGCCTAGCATTGCAGATGGTTAGCTGTATAAACTGAAATACCTTTCTTGGATCCAAAAACACTGACAAGAGATTTGTGATCAGTAATAAAGAGAAAATCTTCCCTATATAGGATTTTATGGAACTTTCTGATTGTGAAAATGATTTCTAGGGACTTCCTTTACAATCTGGTCATAATTACACTCAGCAGGTGTTAGGGACCTGGATGCAGAAGCTATTGCTTTTTCCCTTCTGTCTTGTTAGAAGCATCTGAGACAACTGTAATATCCATGGATGGATTGAGTAGTTATTCCAAACAAAGTATCAAAAGTAAAGTGGGATTTCAGTGACCAGTCCTATAGTATAGCCTTTTTCAAAAGATGATTAAAGGGATCACATACCTGGTGCATTTCTGGCAAAAAATGTATGTAATGACTTACTAGACCAAAGAAAGAGTGTAAATTTATTAAACTCATCAGTACTGGCCAGATGCTGTATTTCATAAATATTTTCTGTGTCTGGTCTACAACCACTTTTATCAAAAATAAATTAAATAGATAAAATAGATATTTAATGGATGTCCAAAAGAAATGGTGGAGCACACAATACAAACATAAGAAATCATTTTGAGTGGACATTGTGATGATGATATCATCGATGTAAGTAGCAACTCTTCGTTGACCCGGTCAGCATAGCATACTGTCTTGTCTGGTGTTCTGCACATTGAGAGTGCTTTTTTCAACTGAGAAAAAACTGGTGTTATATGGCTCTCTCAGTCCCAGACCCATGCTGACTATTGGCTAATAACTGCCCAGTATCATTCATATGCAAATAGCACCACCTACCGTAAGTAGAATGTCTTCTCTCAGCAGCTAATTATGGAAGATGACATAACTACTGGTGTTTACTCCAATAAAATCAACTCCATGAAATCAACTCTGAATCTCTTATTGGGTTGACCCAATTCTAAGTTACACATAATTTTGTCTGCTGGAATACTGCTGGTACTGACTAATGCCAAACAGAAGGTGGTTAAAATGAAACAACTCTTGATGTTTGTTAATCATAAGTAACTCACTTTCATGGTAATTTCTCTTATGAACTTTCTTCTATAGTATCTAAATTTTAGGAATTTAAGGGCAATACTAAATTGGCAACAAAGTCTCATTTTACAGTTGAATTGGCTAGATGCAAATGTAAGTTTCTTTTCTTTCACTTGGTTGTAGAACTCTCTTCTGGCTTCTTGATTTTCAGCCAACTTTGATTTTCAAAAATTTAAATGCAATGTCAATTGCTATATTCTTTCTTCTTATTGGTCTCACTCCTTAATAATGTATTTCTTTTTCTTATTCTTTCACACTCAGTAATCCCTTGGTTCTTGGTGATATCATTGCCTTGCTTGGGATGAAATGATAAAAAAAACAAATCATCATATACATCTATTTGGAGGTAAGAGTCAACCAGGTTGATTTTTGCAAAGCAGGTTACTCTATTGAGTGTTGTGAATAGGTCTTCTGGAAGCAGTAATGGATAATTATAAATATCTATTGAGCCCAGGGAAATAATCAGCACATGTGTATTTTGCCATTAGCCATTAGTGACAACAATGGGAGCCACCCATAGTGAGTAATTTGCAGGTTGAATTACTCCTGCTTGCTAAGCCAGTTTAATTTTTTCTTGTGTATATGGTACTGGATTCTTGGGTCTGGAAACTGGTGTTACATCTGGCTTTAGCTTGAGAGTAGCTTGATTCTTGGTACAATTATTTTGTTAATTTCTAAAGCTTTAATGTGTTAAACCCAAATGTCAGTGGGGTGGCATTAAAAAGATCAAGCTCTTCAGTCCAGTGACATCCAAATAAGTTAATTTGGGGATAATCAGTGAGTTAACATATTCTGGAAAACTGTTTGAAAGACACATTACAAGTTAACTCACTCATTAATTGTATGGCGTTGCCGGATGCACTCTGGGCTATATGGTTACTATTTGCCATGACAGGTTTAATGTGAGATCAACATTATATCTGGGGCAGTGTCAACTTGAAAACAGACTGGAGTTTTGTTAATGGAAACTGTTATATATTTTCTATAAAATTTAATGTCAACTTTCAAAGTTACAAAAACAGGATTTGTGGAAGAGGGTTTGGGCATTTCTTTTGAAGAGTTGAAAGTTTTTGCTTTCTGTGCACAACAAAACCATTCCTTGTGTCCGCACCACTTGCAAGTTTGATACTGGCATTTTTTTAAATGGACAAAAATATGAATAATGTCACTCACTGTATGATCAACATGGTGTTGGAGGCCTCTTTGTTTTTCTTCTTGTCTGAATATTGCTGGTAGTAGATAGCTTTGTTGAACCACCAAAGTGTCATGTTTCTGATTGAGTAGATGTTGGTACTCGGTAATGAGAACTTCCACTGTGATATCTTTTTCCTGATCAAAATTTGACAATAGTCAATTGCGAATAAGCTATAGCACGCTGAATGTAATAGAGATGTATGTTGTGTTCTAATTTTGGTCATTTAAACAGTGATATTTTTATATCTAGCTGAAGAGATGTACTTTTATGAAAATAATATATCAACAGATGTACACAAAGCAAAACTATGCATTTAGGTTTTTTAGTTTTTCAAAATTCACAGGTAAAATACAACTATTGTTAACCATATAAAATGTACATACACCAAATATACATTTTATTTTCCAAAAACTGATTTCTTGATTTGTTATTCTAATTCAGAAAAGCTTAGAACCTTTTTTGACATTTCTTTATGTAAAATATAAATTTATATGCCACTAGCAATCTGTTAATCATGACTGCTAACATGTGGCTAGAGGCAATTGTTGATAAATAATTTATGAAAAAATGTGATACTGCAATTATCATGGCTATTATTACCATGAATAATCTGTTTTTATGGTTAATGTTTTGATTTACTGAAGTGTTTTTAATAAGCATAATTTATCTTCTATTTTCCTTTCTTGCCAAATATGTACTAAAATATAAAAGATTTTAATTTCGGATTTAATTTAATAAATATAGTTCTCCATAAGGCTTTGTAACTTTTTCTTTTCAGTGTTCTGACAATTATCAATTTTTTTTTTAATCAACTCACCCCAAGCATGGTGGTACCAGGTAATGCCACTAAGATGCAAGGGGCTACTAGGAGTGAAAGAGAATGAGAATACTTTAATGAACCGGAAGTGAAATTCTAAACAGGAAACAAGGGATAAATCTCTATTCCCGTTAAAAGGAGCAGGGAGAAGTGTGAACCGGACAGTAGGCGAAACTATCTATTTGTTTTCTGAATAATCTAAATAAAAATATAACAAACATTTTTTTGATTAAAGTAGAGAATAAGAACGATGTGTAAAATGAAAAGAAATTAATAATGTGGCTTAAAGAAGGGTGAAATAGGGTTGGGTCTTATCAAATAACAACCTTAGCTAGCATTTTTTTTTTTAATTTAGTGTTACAATTTACATTGAATTATTAATCCCAAAAAAATTCTGGAATATACCAGTAGAATACTCTGACACGACAGTCTCACAGAAAGAAAATTATTACCACAGAAAAAAATGCAACTTGTTTTTAGAAAAGCACATTGAAAAAATGTCTGACTTTGAAGAAAATTTAATTATTAAAAAATTGTTTCTTGATACTTTTTGCTTCAGTATGACTAGTGGTCTTTCTTTGTTACAAGATTACAAACTAGAAAAAACAAACAAACAAACAAAAAAATAGTTTACACAGTTTACAATTAATTAAAAGTAGCAAAACTTACTGGAAGAGAAGTAGCATTAAGAAAATTACAAGATCGGATTTTCTAAAATTTCGTGACTATCAATCCCAAATTTTAAAAATTCCAATTTATCTTTCAATAACTCTGTCATAATACCTGTTTAAATTTTCAAACATTTAAAAAAATTAAAAGAACATCCTATTTGTTATATTGTTTTACACTACTATTCCGAATTACTTTTTGTCACTGTCAGTTTTTAGCACGTTAATTATGAATGTATACAATACATTGATTGATCGATCCCTGCTCGACTTACGCCAATTTTGAAAGAATATTTCAATGCACATAACCAGAGTTTTAAGAGTTTGAACATTAAACGAATCCAAAAATTTTAACATCAGTCAAACAAAAAAAGTGAAAGCTAAAATTGTCCTCACAAAGTTTTAAATTCAGAAAACTGTGCGATGTTTAAAAAGGAAAACTGTACAAAAAATAATAAAAGTTATTTATAACGTTAAAAAAAAAAGCCAACTGAAAAAGTTACGATTCATTTTTTAGAAATTTCATTGAAATATCTCAAAAAAACAAATTTAATGAATGAAAATTAAAAAGAAAAACCGACATGGTTACTTCTTTAGTGATGAGAGCAGCAGAAATGGTCATTAATTTCTATCTTTGTCAACATCCAAATCTAAAACAGGGTATAAATATATAAATACAAAAAAAACAAATGTACATTTAGTCGAGCGTTTTCTATAAATGGCTGGAAATATTGTTCAAAGAAAATGAAGGAAATTTGAATTAGAGAATCATGTTACCAATGCTAAAATTTATAAGACAAATATTCAAGTTTGACTACAAAAGATTTAAAACTTTTCAACGTATGATATCAACATACCAATTCAAAAGTTAAAAATTACTCATTTAATAAAAAAAACAATAAGATGAAAGAAAACTACTCGGATCTAAATTGTAGTAAAAAGTGAGATAAGCAACAATATACAGAAAAAAAGAGCAATGCATTGAAAATGTATTGTTAGTCTTCTTAACTTTTCTTAACAGTTGGTAATTTATTTTCTTTTGATCTCAAAGAAACAAACTTGTTCACTAATCAAATTAAAAAAAAACATAAGTAAATGGAAGATGCCAGGAAACTTATTTAAATAACTAATAAAACTACAAAGAGTAGTTTAACTACAAAATAAATTTATTTTTTTATTTAAAAAACAAAAAAAAGCCACTTTTTCAAGGAGAATTTACCAACGAACTCGCTCAGCAGTCAGAAACTATTGTAAATTATTATCGAATATTGGTTATTTTTTTTTTGTTTATTTTAACACGTAAAAATACTTTTTTCATTTGATTTAGTTTAAAAAACCAAGTTTGGCACAAACACATTTTTACTGCGCTGAGAAAATGAACTCACGAGTCGATTTGCATGAAAATATATTTATTTTTAATTTATAAAACACGAGAAGTCTTTCTAACTTTTCAAACTTAAAGAAAAAGTAAGTAAAAAAAAAAACAATTTTAAAGTTATTTCTCGAAAAAAAATAATAAAAGAACCAGATGAGTTCATGAAAATTGAAAATAGAAATGACGGAAAAAACATTTTTAAATTGTAATATGTTAAAAATAAATGGAGATACGCATTTTTTCGCTTAATTTCTAGTGAGATCTCTACTACATTTACAACATAAAAAAACACATTCATTCAAATCTTTTTGAGTAAGAAGAAGAATTGATTGATCCGTATTGAATGGATCACAGTAGTAGTGTAAACAAATCCATTGCTATGTGTATCTAAACAAAATTCACAGGTGAAGTGTCTCTACACAACAACACATTCGCACCGGCATCTATAATGTCACAGGAAAAAGGGGGGTCGTGTATGGTAAGAAGGGATATTTTTGTTTGCGTAATCCACAATCCCTACAAACAAGTATATTGCACGATGTCTGACACAAGATGACATGTACTACAGGTACAACAATAATGTAAAAAATAATTGTAAATTGGCTAAGGTAGACACGGAATGTATGTAATTATTAATAATGAAATGATTTTTCATTATTAATTACTTTCCGTATCTGCACAACAAGTCAATTTACACAATTTTATTGTTTTTTACCTGTTTAAAAGTGTTATGCGTTGCGTTGGTGATTTAAAATTTAAATCATCAAAAGCGCACACTCCATTCAAGTAGTAACTTCTGTTGCAGATGATTAGGTATTTAAAAGAAAGATTATGACACTTGATTGAGTTTTCTTTTCATTCATAATCAATGACAATCAGTCATCATCGTTATTTCCTTTCAAGCTTTCTTTTTTATTTTTGACAGCAGTATTCCAAGACCATCATTCGATTCAAATTACCGTTAAAAAAAAGAAAGAAAAGAAAAAGAAAGAAAAGATAAAAAAAGAAAAGAAAAAAAAGATTCTGTAGAAAAAGAGACTCACCTGTTTTGATGGAAGAGATTTAGCTGCCAAAAGCTGTTCGATTATAAAATCCACATCGAAGCTGCGTTTACCCTTGTTCAGTGCCAAACTTGACATTTTTGTATATTTCAATTTCACTCAAAAATGATAGATTTTAAGAAATTTAAAAAGAAAGATAATAATTTTTATGTCGCACAATACCTCCAAAATAATCAGTTTTGGTCACAGAAATATAAATAACAATTGTTTGTTTTTACCTCTTTCTTGCGAAATAGTTTTTTTGTTTTTTAGAAGAATCTATAAAAATATACATTTACACACATTCACATATAAACGCCGAGATGTACTAAAATATGGCTATTTTAACTTGATTTACATTTTACTTTCTTTTCTGTTCTTTTACGTTTGAATGAATTTAGAGATCTAAAAACTCTTAAAGAAATGCAACAATTTTCTTAGTTGAAGAAATGCTGGTAAAAACCAGCAATTAAATATGACTGCTGCTACATCTAGATGGCAAATGCCATCCTCTCTACAAGGAGGAGCGTTATTGTCTCCATTGCTTTCGATTCGAAAAACGATATTTCAGACTATCTTTCTTTCTGTCTCTTTCTAAAGATGACCGTTTTCTTTCCCCGTGTAGTCATGGATGGATTGATCTTCCTCCATTATTACGTTTGATCTGCACTCTGCAGTCAGTGATGACGAGACATGAACAAACAACACTAAACCTCCACATTATTATTCGCTGCTACTATATCATCGTCGTCAACTGTTTTTACTAGGAAGAGCGATAAATCCAAGGAAAATAAATTTATTATGCATAAACACACACACACACACACACACACACACACAAAAGATATTGCGTTTATTCACTGTGTCATATGTAGCTGTGTATATTTGCGTGCACGCACACGTACGCGTACGCGTGTGCGTATATGCGCATATATACGCATATGTGCGTGTGGGTTCCTTTAAATTGATTTATTTCACTCAAGGAAACTAACATTTAAAAAATGCATATTTATTCCTCCGGTAAAATAATTTTACTTTCGTTGCCTTTTTCTAATGAATTTTACTTTTTTTTCAAGAATTTTTTCCTTTTTTTTACCTTTTAAAATGACACCCCTCATAATTTATTACTACAGGGGCTAAAACTTAAGTAATTATTTTTGTAGATAACATTAATGGTTGATTTTTTTTTTTAATTAGTCGTGGTATCTGAACTGATTGCCTTGATTGATTGATGAGAACAAAACAAAAAAAACAAAACAAAAAACAAAGAAAAAAAAACACAGATCGATATAATTAGAAGACTAAGACATGAAAGCGTACTTATATCCTCTGATTATTTACTCGTAATGTCTTCATTACGAATCCGAGTACAAAACTTGTAAGTACCTACGAATTACGAGAAGAAAATTACTACCAACTTGAAAGTATAAAACTTTGACACATTTCAATTTCAGTAAGAAATAAAAGAAAAGTTTTGATTACACAAAAAATTAATTGTTTTTTTCTATATACAGATTTTTACAAAGGTAAGATTTCAACAATGAACCTGAATAAACATGTCAGATGTATGGAAAAAATATACAATTAAAGTCTTTAATTGTTTTATATTCTCTAATTTAAAAAGTATAAAAGAATTCAAAAAAGATTTTGTGTTTGTGATAAAGTTTCCTAAAACAAAGATTTATTTTCAAGGTGTAAAAAATTCTTTTGTGGAGGTAGTAAGGCTGGTCTTGGCTGTTAAGGTCTAAACAGGTGACATTACTGGAGTTCATCGGAACATTTGCCGTGGAAGTAGCGATAGGCTTGCGAAATTGCATCTATTGGGGAAAGGGGTTGTAGGGTGGAAATGTCATTCCTACTCCACAAAGCCACGTAATTGTTTTAGAACTCTGTCAAGACCGTAAAATGAAGACTGGAATGATCCAGAGCAGATATGACAACAATACTCCAATTTTGGTCTCATCTGATTCTTGTAAAGATTGTAATGAGTGCGAAATAATAACAACCCCCTTTACCCACTCCTTTCAAATTCAAGGGACTGAGGTAAAAGATGGAAAGGAATTTACGAGCCTATGTGAAATTTTCTTCGGACCAATGAAAACGTTGTCTTCATAGAGATTGACTGGCGAGCTGAGAAGAGGACGGAAATAAATACGAGAACCTATGTGTAATTGCTTTTAGACCAATGAAAACCTTGTCTTCACAAACGAATGAAAAGAAAGTAGCGTGCCTATACGAAATTCTTTTTGATATAAAATGAAGAGAAAAATTAAATTAATAAGAGTGTCTGAAGTCATGTGAACGGTTTCGTTTCTTTTCACCGCACGTAGCATTTAAGTTTTCGCCAGTGTCAAATTACTTGCCAATTATATTATCGACCTTTTAACCAAGTACGGGACTTTGAATTTTCTTTCAGCAATTCAAGAAAGCTAAGTATTTCAAACTATCTATCTTCGTCTACTTTTGAAAGTATGCAACCATATATCTCTTCTGTGAGCAACGAACTCTCTTACCTTTGAAACATTTTTAATATTATTTTGTGTCAGATCATTTAATCTGTTGTATGAACATTTCCACGTCATTACCATTCTTCGTTAATCTTACTGGCGTTGATAAATCAATTGTTCATCTTAACCCCGAAGCTCCACACCACTATAAAATAAAAGTTGGCAGAAGAGTCAGGTATTTTCTGGAGAGTTACTGACCATGTTTACAGCATCTTTAGCTCTGGATCGTATATATGAGTTCCACTAGAGGTCTGGAGTGAACTTGAGTTCCAACAGACGTTCAAGGCTGGGAGCTTCATTGAAAGTGCAAATGCCTACTGGAATAAATTCAGGGTCTGCTCGGTGAAAACGTTATTAGCTTGGTTTGGAGGTGTTAAATGATGCAAGCCAGTTTTTCTCTCATTGAATTTGTAGAACTAGATCAGATAGATCAGCTACCGGACTTAAATTATTTTGATTTTTGGAGGTGCGTCCAGAAACTGTCGTATCTACATAGATATTTACAAACGATCTGAAAATGTTCCGAGGCATATTGTTAATATAAAGCATAAAGAGGACAGGACCAAGGAGATAACTTTAGGGGACGCATGCATTGAGGTCAGGGGCTTCAGAAGATTGGTAATTAACAACGACCTTCATGGACCTGTCTGCGTGGAAGGACTTGAAAACTTAGAAGACTTTTCTAGAGATACCATAGCTGGATAGTTTGTACATCGACCCCCTATGTCACACCTTGTCAAAAGACAATCAGGTTGGTGATGAAGTTACTATTGGACGCTTCACTAATTCGGTGTGTAATGATCAGTAGTCAACCTAGAGAGAAATTGAGATTGGTTTAATTCATTGATTTAATTGTTTAACGGCATATCAGCTACTTATAGGTCATTTAATGCCGAAATTTAATTTTCTTGGGAGCTTTGAAGTAATACTCAGGGTGCGATGGGTAAATTATCACCATTTTATATTTTTAATTTCATGCATGCGCGTTGTTTGTTTTTGATTTTGTCCACTGTAGAGTATAGTATGCTCAGTTGGACACCGTCTGTGAGAAAAAGAGCACTATGACACAATTTACTCTGCCAGAAATTTGGAAACGGTATGCAGTAGTGCTTGGCATTCGTGCCGGAAGCTCCAATACGAACATTTCAGGGTGTTTTGGTGTCAATCTGAGGACAGTGTAGAGGATTCTGAAAGAGTTGGGTGATATATCAAGTCAACATCATGATGTTTGGAGTGATCACTAGCGATGATGGTAAGTTATGCCTCCATTCATCTTCCCATAGGGACTAAGACATAACACAGAAGACTACATCAAGTGTCTTGAGGAGATAGTGCTGCCCTGATTCAAGAGAGTGGCTGCTGGAAGACCGTATGTCTGGTAACAGGACTCTGCACCCTGCCATACAAGCAGGAAAACCTAGTCATCCCTTATATCAGGCCATCTAACTCCCTAGACTACAACTCCCTTGATTATTATGTGCCGGGAACAGTTGGGCGAGAGACCAACAAAAGTCCTTGTAATATCAATGATGAACTGAAGGCAAGGATTATGGCAGCATTCAACAACTTATATAAGGAGACAGTCCAAAAAAGTTGCAGGAAATTCCGAAGTCGAAGTCTGGAAGCCGTGGTTAAAGCGATTTTGAGGCGTGGCGATTGTATTGAATAAATTTACTCTTTAGTATTTCAAGATATTTTTGTGTAATTTTGGTAAATATATCTTGTGAGATGAGATGTCAGTGTTATTTTCCTTTTCGCGTAATTTAGACAATTTATCCGTCGCACTAGTAAATATGACATGTTATTTTGCTTTCACAATTGAATACATGGTAAATAATATTCAGTTTTGTGCATATACATGTTTGTGTGGACATGATGACTAGTGGCGGTGATATGTGTATTTGATGTTGTAGTTTTGTTAATTTTGTAAAACAGGTTGATTTCTTTAAGAAATTGTAGAATATTATATGGATTAATGTCATGAAAAAGTTCTTTCATATTGGTTGATTTTGTTTAGCGGCATATCAAAATCTATGGGTTATTTAATGCCGAAGTCTAAATATTTTTAACACAATTTTGTGACTTCAACTAAATATATTTTAAACTCAATTGTATATCTTCAGCTAGAGATATAATATATTGTTAGTAATTTTACTATAAACGCTCATTTGTATCTTTGCTAGAATGGTTTCAATGCCTGTGATGTTGTTACATTTCTTCAGTATTGCACTATTCTTGACCCTGTCATCCCATTTTATATCACATAGGACACGAAGACAGCGTCAAGTTGATTAATGTGCTCGATATGTGTGTATATATATATATATATATATATATATATATGTGTGTGTGTGTGTGTGTGTGTGTGTGAGAGAGCGCGCGCGCGTGTTTCGTAATGTTTAAGCCAATGTAGTATCCGTCTTGATTTAGTGTCTTGTTGGTGTATTCTTTTGTAGGAAGGGGTGATTTTTCGGAGCATTTTTGTTGATCGAATGGTTAATTGTATGTTCCGCTCTTAAGTGTGGTTCATCTTCAATTTTTTTTTTTTTTTATCTATATCATCGAATTTAAATCTGTCGACAGTGATTCTCT